TTTGAAATAAGGCAAAAATAACTTTTTAGTTTGAAAAGATATTAACTAGAATACATACATAAAAAGTCGTTAGTAATAAAAAAAGGAAGAATTAATAATAATTCTGTTGAAATAATTAAATTATGCAATACAATATCAAAACTAATATAATTATTATTAATACTAATATAGTATATTGAGAATAATGTAACATATCAGTATTAAACATTATGTTCTTAGTGAAAATTTTTCTCGGAATTTTTTCATATAATTTTTCAGAATTTCTATATAATTTTATAACTTTCTCACATTTTTTAGACGAAATTGGAACACTTCTTAAAAAAATCTAAATCTTTTTTCACAAAGAAATTTTCACATATGTTAATTACGGAATATCGTAAGATTTCTAAGATTTTTTGTAGATGTAATTTCTGAAATGTTATAAAAAATTTAAAAATATTTTTTAAAAATTATGAAATGAGAAATTTCAAAATATTTCAGAATTCACTTGTATGAAAAATTTTAAGAGAAGATGTAAACTTTCTGAACGTTTCTGAGTATTTTTGAAAAATGTTCCAATTCGTATAAAAATTATGAGAAAAATTTTCACCAGGGATATATCCGTTATGTCACATCGTTCCGATCTTTTTATTTTAATTTTTATTCAGAATTCACCATGTAATTGTAGATATCTTAATATACTATCTCGTTGGCGACTTTATTAATTATATGGTGCGACGTCATACGCATTATCTCGGATGTTCATGAAAGGGTATTCACACAACGACATCTAACAAATTAGAGAGCTACGTTATACAATACGTTATACACGCTCGTTACACGCAGCCTGACTCCACGCACGCTGGACTGTATTTATCCCGAAGGAAACGTTCATCTCTGTGACGATTCGTCGCGCTGACTTGCATACCATAGCAAGCAGACAGTAATCTGACGTTAACGACCAGATCGGAATAATAAAGTGATGGCGATCACGTTACATCGCACGTGTAACGTGACCGGCTAGACGAGCAGCATTTTCGGAATCGAGCAGAAACGTGAGCTGAATTCGCTTATATTCGAAGACGTGAGTAAGATTAGCGACGCTAATGGAGAATTTAGAAATCTACCTTAGAAGAACCTGCCTCCCGTGTCCTTAATAGAGAACTTTAAGTTTCCTTAGAAGGAAAACTTGCTAATAGGTTTAAATGAGAGGAAAGACAGAAAAGAGGAAAGAGAGAACTTGCTAGTAACGCTCTAAGTCAGTTTAAGTAAAAGGAGATTTACGTTGGAAAGATACAAAATATCTCACTATTTAATAAAACAGATTAATATTGCGTTCTATATATATACATAATATTATACATTATCGCTTCCTTACTTTAAAAGTGATACAACTGCAATAATGTTATTTTTCAAATTATTATGAATAAATTAGGTATAAAACATTACTTCATCAATCACCGAAAATTAATAAACTTTATTGAAAAATCGCTAAAACGTCACCACTCAAAAAAGATAATTTAAAAAAATCATCACAACTCAATAAAGATGATTTTTTTAAGAATTATGAAACGAAAGTGACAAAAATAACATTTGATTATGTTAAGAATATATTCTTTTTGTCGATGTTATTTGATCAATAATTTTCTGTCAAGTTAAATAATTTGAGAAATAATCTGAGAAACTTAATTTTTTTAGTTATGTCACTTTTCATATAACTAACAATTATAAAATTAAAAAGGAAATAACTACAATCGCGATGATTTGAGGATCATTATTCGGGGCCCCGAGCAAATCCGTCACTGCAAATTGATATATTCACGTGTATACTCGCGGTGGTGGAACGTGATGCGAGTAAACAACGAAGATGTAAATTCAGAGAGACAAAGAGAAGCAGTGGCACAGAAATAGTCTAATAAATTAATCTCAAGCCGCTTACAAAGTATGTTCGCTCGACGTCTCTTGGCGACTTGCTCGTGCAGCCGATCCGAAGTATTAATTAATGGATCGAATGAAGACGAAGGAGATATAACGCATGGGATATTTTAATTTTAATTTAGGGCCCCGGAACAATATTATACACACGCGCCATTGATCAATAGACTAACTCGTAAGAGATAATTATTTATTTACGAAGACAAATCCATTTGTTCCGGGAATAAATCATTGATTCTCACAAAGTAATCTACGAGTCCACGACGATGGTCCACAAGTAGTGTTGCGTGTGTCGCAGCACATCAGTGACCATCAATTAAAACTGAAGTTGTAGGGTTGCTTCTTTTAATTCCTGATCTCAGCTGACGTACGTTATTCAGCTGGTATGTATAGCAAGCTCCAATTACAAATCCAGCTATTAACGAGCGAATCATAGGAACGAAACGATACGTATATACTTACGATATGCGAGTATACAAAGGTAACTCGAGTCACACACGACGCCCATTGGATGCGTTACGTATTTCTATGCTTGTACAAGGTGTCAGTTGCTAATCCGGTGGCATTTATAGCCACGCTAGAATTCTTGTCATTCCCAGAGCCAAGTATCATTCCTGAGCCACGTCGCTGCAAAGTAAATCTTAGGTTCATACGTGTTGCTTGAAATCTCCAAAAATTGTTGTACTGAAAACGAGAGATAAATATTTATTCAGGCATTGAAGAGAGAGAATGTAAAGATACTGAGTACAAAAAGTACAAGCGACGCGAACAGACCTCTCGATGCATCAGTCTCGTTCCGAAAATTTCGAATGTTGACTCTGAAATAGAGCGTTAGAGAAATGATTCAGGAATGTAAGTATCATTGTGTCATTTTTCATGGCGTGGTCATCATTCTTATCATTCTTCGGAGGAAAGGAATTTTTGTCGCGCGAGCTTTGATTTTATTCAAGATAACGCGTTCGCGTGATCGTGAATCAGCCTCGTGTTTATCATTTACGACATTCAATCAGTGTCGACATTCGATCAGCAAGGTAGGATTTATTCTGGAACGACATTCCCAAGCGAGTCTGGCAATCAGATGACCGCGACGAGTCAGCCAGCGAGCGTTCCGTTTCGATTTGACGGCCCCCCTTCATGAGCATCGGACGTGTAAGAAGTTCGGACGTCGAGGGGCTATAGGGGACGGCAAGCTATGGGAGGACGACCGCCAAGGGTGACCGCTACACCGGCAAAGAGTACGAAGAGGCCGCGCGAGGAGAATGAGGGGAGCAGAGCTGGCGAACGTCGAAGGTGGGACTTTGACCGGCCATTGGCCCCGGCGAGTCAAGCCGGCGGCAGAACGAACAAGTCCTCGAAAGAAAGGGTTCCTGTCCTCGCCCGTCCACGTCGACGCTCAACGTCTACGTTGTGTGCTGCGCGTACAGCAAGCAAGCGCCACAGTTGGTCTCCATCGTCCAGCTTGACTAGCATGGCTCGCTTGCTGTACACGCTTGCGGTACCCGATTCCAAATCTGTTCAGGGGCGGAACTGTACGGGGAAACCAGATAGGCTTAGAATGCACAGTTGTGCGTCTAGTTCATTTAAAGCCTTGCGTCCGCGATGCTAGAAATCGCTCCGAGATCTCAGATGAAGAAAGAATTGACCAATTGCATTAGTTAAATAAATTAATTCTTGAGCTGATCACGATATTTATTAATTCTTTCCATTTGACGTGGTCTTGGAGCAATTTATTTCTATCATCGAATGTTGAAAGACTTGATATCAAAACTTAGACCAGAGAAAATTTATCTTTTTACGAAGATAAGATTACATAAAAGACGCTAGCCATAGTATGATGCGGCGAAATGCTACCGTTTTCTGTGTAACGGGTCAAGAGATGACAGTTAACATGTCCGTACAAATTATCGCAAATTGGAAGCACTTGACGAGAAAGTGTGCTTAACGAGTTTGTTTAGCGACTTGTTTAGCGATAGCTACGCTAAATATGTCTCTACATGTCATAGAGAAAATGTTGAGCGACCCGTTATAATAACTTTTAATGAGTATAAATTATACAAAAAGAGCCGCTATATGATAAAATTTTAATATTAGTTCTAATCGATAATTCGACTTTTAAAAGATTTTACAGGATAAATTTGTAAAAATGTTTATAAATTTAATATTGAAAACCGGAATACTATTTTCTTTTCTGAAAATTCTTTTCAAGAAATCATCAACCTCAAATTTAAAATATGATTATTATATTGTAAGATGTGAATCCGTTCCTGTCGACACTTACCTGTAATTTGTGAGCGATTTGCTGTCTTGCGAAAACTCATTATAGGCCGAATGAATATTAACGACCTATATTTTGCGTATTTATGGAAGAATAACTTAACCTTTAGAATAACTGTTATGCATAAGATGTGCCTTTAATTATACTGATGGACAGAATAATTCATACAAGAAGAGAGGAAACATCCATAATAATTAAATCATATTTTCATACGTTATTTAACAAAAATAATGAATCTCTACTGAAAGATAATAAATTTTTTTCACGAGAATAATTATAAAATGTCCACTTGTGGTGTGTGTGTGTATATATATATTAATTATATAGGATGACGAAATGTCATATCATTTAATTATCAATTTTTAGATTTTGATATATATAATTAATTCTATATCTCAGTTCTCTGCAAATTTTGTTAAAAATAAATGAATTATATATAAATAGTATGATATTTCGTTGCCTTATATTTTATAAATGAGATTCCATGAGTCATAATTATTTGACAAACATACTTTCATAAAAAAAAATCACATATTTCGAAAATTATTTTTGGTGTTATATATTACAGAACTTAAAATTTATGATTCGAAAATCATTAAATAGATTTTACACATTTATGAGATATTAATTCTCTTGGCACATCATAAATAATCTCATAAACATATAAGAACATTTCAATATCAAATTAACAAGTAATAAACAATATATACATATATATTGATAAATAATAAAACATATTGCTTCTGAATTGAATATTATTTAATAAAATATTATTTAATAAAAATTTTATAGTTTACTGATTTATTTCCTTTTGTATAATTTATTTCCTTTTCTTCATATCATTTTTAATTTCAAAAAGAGTTCGCCTTGAGACAACATATTATACCTCACAAACACTTTACCTATTGAAACTTATTGTTCAATTATCTATAGCTATGCTTAAGGGTTCTTTCGCGATGATGGTTCATACAACTGGGTCATAGGTCGATGTATCATCCACACTCTCCGCACAAGAGGATTGTCGTTAAAATAATGAATCAATCCTGCAGATTATATACTCATTATTTCTTCGACTCGCAGTTATAACTGTCTTCTCAACTGTGCGCGCTATCTGCTCTTATCTGAACGAATGGAAACGTCTTAACAATAATAAGCTGCCTCTCTCGATACCAAGTTTTGTGGAACGTCTAGGTTGCTACGTAATCATCGTTTCTGATAACGAGAAATTGAGCTTTCGAGTTTTCAGTATGTTCTCGATCGGTACTGTATGTGCAGTGCCACGTTTTGTGATCGAATACGAAGTCTCACGAATATCGCGACTGAACACGAAAGATTCGCACTTGTATATCAGCGGCGCGACGTGAACGCGAATTCTTGCAAGTTATTGTACTCAGACAACACAAACAGAAACGTTAACTTTTTACTTCTGGAAAAGTCGTAGAAAATCGATCGACATGGCACCCGGTACCGTGATCGCTGCCTTCTCAGTCCTCAAAAATCACGTCAAATTCAAAGTTAATCAAAATTTCATAGCCATTGACAATATCGGTAAGATATTTCCATTTTAATACTATATACTTTCTATAATTATTATTTCTGACATCTGATGCGACCGAAATTGATGTACGATTGATGGAAGAATTTACATTGCATCACTAATTATCACACAAATTTAATTATCGATTAGTTATCGCTTTTACATAACGTGTCTACTTAAAAATATTATATGTTATATTAGCTAACAATAAGTAAAAATAAAAAAGCATATGTATTAAATATAATTAATATACTTAATAAATTTATATTTAATACTTATATTTAAATACAATATTATAATTAAATATGTATATTCAATATAAATAAAAAGAAAAGAATGGGTGTGCTTAGTTTTCAGATTACATTACAGAGTTACGTTTCTGTTGCTTCTTGTTGCGTCTATTCTAGTCACCTCCAGACAATTTATTGGAGAACATATAAGGTATGTGTATAGTAATCGTACAATTTTTTATATTAAATTGTTTATAATTATGTTGGATTTAAGCAGTTTAATATCGTAATATCTTAAGATAAATTCTTATATTTATTTTTAAAAGGTGCATCGCCGACAGTGGTGTATCATCACAGGTTATCGAGACATTTTGCTTTTTCATGTCCACATACACCGTAGTAAGTCTAAAATTCTGTTGAAAATAAATGATGTAGAAGAAAATAAATAAATAAGAGTTGATGAATCGAGCAGGTTTGTTGTGCTAATAAATGTTATGTATTAAATATAGATTGAAAAGTTGACTTTTAAATGCTTTTTCCATAATAATGTTTTTATTTAAATAAAGATACATATAATTGCATATTATATTTCTAATATCTAACGTTTCGATTGAAAAAATAATTTTGTGTACAATATGTTCATTTTTATGAAAGTTACATGTAATCGAACTGGGTGCGGTCCCAACAAAAAATAATCGTCTATTAGATGGTGAATTGATGTTGAAATCATCTTATCGATGTCAGCTCGGCATCATTTTTATGAATCATTTCTTACTAGGATATACCATACATTAGTGTGTTTGTTCCCGTAATGGGGCGTTTAAGAATTAACGAACAAAGTCATATATTACAAAGTCACAGACGAGGTTTTGACTTTTATTATAGTCACCTTCAGTGTGTTAAATGCTTGTCAAATAATGAAACTAAAATAAATATGGACGTTACAATGACATCGACGTAAATTTTAAAATAATTATAAGCACACCGTATCAAATGAATCCAATTCAAATGTTGTCTCAGTTTCAACAAATAGTAATATAATGGACGTATATATAAATTATATATGAATAATGTTGATTATATAATTTGTTATTCAAAAATAAAAAAGATAATCGATGTACAACATTTATTTTTAATTTTATTGTTTGATGAGAACTTTTTGTTAATTTTTTAACAAGATGTATTTAATACACTAACATTTTTAGCAAGAAAAACCTGCTCAACTCTTATTTATTTTTTTCGATTTTCAGTTTTATCTATAATCTCTTTGTATTTTTAAATAATGTATAACTTTACTGATTCTATCTTTATAGCATTTCAATATAGTGACTTTTTTTATTGTTAATAACATAAATTTATCGATTACACGTGTTTGCTATTTTACGCACAATAAGTATGGAAATAAAAAATCCAAATAAAGTTATACTAGGGAATTATTGACGTTGTAAAGTTCTTTTCTCTTGCCGTCTATAAAAAATTATGTTAAAAATCTAAATATAATTAAATACTTTTCATTTAGTAAGTAATACAAATCGATACAAACGTCGTTTTACCTTTCTGGACATTCGAATAAGCCAGAACGACACTTGTATCGACTTATGTCACCAAATGGTACTCATTATTATTTCCCGCAGACGCTGCTTATTATCAGCTGATTTTTAACTGTTTAGGTGAAGCATCTGAATGCTACCGCGGTAGAACAGGGCGAATTACCACATCCTGGCATTGGACCAGCTGCCAAAAACGACCCTGTCATACACCATGCTTATTATCAATGGGTGCCCTTTATTCTGTTCTTCCAGGCACTCCTCTTTTACTTGCCGCACTACCTATGGCGAAAAACAGAAGGTCGTTACCAATTCATATCTCGCGTACTCGTCTACGTATCGCACGACATTTATGAGCGCATTTATTTCAAGCGGCGAGCTAATCATCATTAATCTTTTCTCGCCGTCATGATCTAGTCATATAACATGCATACAGTGTCCCACTTACAATGTAACATTACGCTATTCGTAAAATTACTTTTATGTAATGTCAGAGAATAGTTAGGCATACATTATGTTTGTAATCCACGCAATAATGAATATTTGAATTCGAATATTTTTTCTTATTTGAGTATTCAAACTGTTTGAATTAAACATTCTAAATTTGGAATTAGTTTTATCCCAAAAGAGTGAACTCTCATTCCTAAAGAGTGAAAATTCTCTCTAGCAATCTAATCTCTTGAAAAGAGTGAAAATTCTGTCATTTTTTCAAGATATTATCAGTGAATAGCGATCTAATCTCTTGAAAAGATATTATCTTGAAAAAAGTGGCAGAATTTTCACTCTTTTGGAGTGAAATTCGCTCCAAAGAATTTAAAGAGAACCTATTATCCTCGGGAATATTTACATCCAAAAATGGGAACTGTTACAGGCAGTATTGCGAAAACTGTAGAGTGTCATAATTTTTTAAAATTCTAGGCGGCCGATTAAGTATGCTGGTATCAGGATTACACATGGCATCTTTGTCATTAAACGAAACGGAGATTCAGGTGAACGATCAGATGAAGGTGCCATCGAAAAAAGAACGCGATGAGAAGATACAACAGATTCGCATTGGCTTCATAAATCGCCTGCACTTGAATCGTCCATGGGCATACAGTCTGACTCTTTGCGAGATTATGAATTTCATAAACGTGATCATGCAAATTTACTTGACCGACTGGTTCCTCGGAGGTGCTTTCCTCGGTCTTGGTGAAGCGGTCTCGGAGCCTCCGTCTAAAGAGAAAATAAATCCACTCGATGTAATATTCCCAAAGGTAGTATAGTTTTAACTTGTTGTTATTTTTGTATTCTATACAATATTATGATTAAAGTCGATGTCGTCATTTCTAACAATATTAACGTGATATATTATATAATATTTTTAATAATATTGATAACTATATATTATTGATAGTGACTATGTAGTAATCGATGCTACATAGATTAGATTATTATATCGTGATATAATTATTATATAATAATTATTATATTTATATTGTATAATATCAGATTACTATTTGAACTATAAATTCATTGAATTATTAACCGTCAATATTATCTAATATTATTATTAATCTTTTATAATGCAATCTTATACTTTTGAAATCCGATTTTTAAACGTAAAATTTTTATGAACTACTTCATCGATTATCAAAATTAATAAAATCCAACTCTTCATTCTTCCGTCTTTCAAAATTAAATTCTTTGAATTTTGATTGTAAATTTTTATTAGTACAGTTTTGTCAATTTTAATTATTAATAACAAATTTTAATCTTAAATAATGTCAATATCTTTTACCTAATCAATATAGTGGCAGCATTCATGAATATACAATTATATTCTTAGGTAACTAAATGTATTTTTCATAAGTACGGTCCTTCTGGTACCATACAAAAGCACGACGCATTGTGTGTGATGGCACTGAACATCGTTAACGAAAAGATCTATACGGTCCTTTGGTTCTGGTTCGTCGTGTTGGCGGTGCTAACCGGTTTGGGATTGATTTGGAGAATACTAACTATGGTCCTACACGCAAGGTTGTTAAATTTGGTCTCTACGTATTTTTCCATCGTCAACATGTTACGTTTTGTGGCTTTATAAATTCTCGTCATGGTACTCGTCGCTCACTGGTTTCTTTCCTGAGAATTCTCGTTTGACGAATTTACAATTATCATACATCATGTACGTAACTTGCTAAAGTAATTTCATGACGGTTTTCTCAGCGTGTCCAGTAAACACCAATTATTAGTAACATAACATTAATATTATAATTTCACATTCAACAATATAAATATATAATATAACATATGTTATATGACGATAGATTGTTGAGTGTGAAATTATATAACACTGATGTTATATATATAGAATTATTGAAAAAAGAATAATTTTGCTGAAATATCTAAAAATTTAGTTAGATACAAATCTGAAAATATAATTTTATTAGATTATCAAAATAATTATGTAGGATGCCCAAGCTGGCTGTTAGAATATCAAAAAAATTTTAGCAATGTGCTTGAGTTTTTTACATAATTATTTTGATAATTCAACCAAATTATTTTTAGATCCGTACCTAAATTTTTGTTTCAATAAAATCATTCTTTCCGCGTAGAATATTCATATCTCATCCGGAAAAAACTATTTCTATTTTTATTTATCGAAGCAATAATATTACTATTTAATGATATATCCGGTGTAAATTTACCGTAAAGTTCATAATATTATTCCGTAAAAATATATGCTAAAATATTATTTCATAATATAGAGGCGTGTCTGCAAATTTCAATGAATGTACATCACGAAATCTAAGAAAATGCCCACTTGAAAATACTATATAAATGACGAAATGTAAGAAAATATACAGGAACTAGCAGTGACGTTAATGTACCGCGATAAGGGTTCTTTAATATAAAAATGATGACATAAACCACGAATGTGATGCCGCGAACGAGCGACTTTCTCATTGCGGTTTTTTCATTTACAGAAGTACATCATTCAACAGGTTTGTGTTTTCCATGGCATGCCCTGGAAAGTATAATCCATGGAACGTACTCAAGGTCACTCATGAGTACTATTTCGGCGATTGGCTGTTTCTCTATTACATAGCGAAAAATCTGGACAACTATGTATTCAAAGAACTCCTTCAGAGTTTGGCGGAGGAATTGGAGAATAAACATCACGCTCGTTTTAAAATTTTACCGTCAGAAGTGGAGCAGGGATTGTTGAACGAGCAATGGGGAGATACTCTTAAATTTTCCAATGAGAACGAAAAAATAAAATAGCTCTTAAATAATTATCTATAAATAGACGATCAAGAATGAGATTAATGACATGGACAAATGGATCAATAATTATTTACTTAAATCCATACTGTCTTGATTTTGACGAAATTTCAAACTGAAACACATAGTTTTAATACTTTATTAATTACGTAACTATATTAATATATATTAATTACGTAAATATAAAGAGTTCCTACGAAAACATTGACGTAAAGTCAACAGATATAATATATTGGATAAATCTGCTACAATTGTATGTGATTTATAATAATGCGACGATCGTTGAATTGTTAAAGTTTACGCCATTCGAGATCGCTATCTCGCGTGAAAAAATGTGGACTGTTTGAAACGGATAGCAAGAAGAATATATTGTGCATCTATATGGACAACAATCGCGTGCATTCACACGCGTATTATAACACTGCCAAATTGCCTCTTTACGTATAAATATATAATACTTTAGCTGCGATTTACTACGATTGTTGAATAATGCGCGTCTCGCGTGCAGCTCGTCGCAGCCTCGCATAGTCACATTTGTAGCCACGCACGACATAACTGCTCAGTCGAATGTCTTTTAACTATCTCGTAGGATTCGTGTGTACGTTACGTGCGATCGTATGTCGAGCATATGCGCATACAAGCGGTATATGCGGTAAATACATCCGTACGTTGCACCGACTCGATAAATGGATCCGACAATAATTCGAATCGTTAAGTCGTTAAGGTCTCTGATTGGAATTATGCCATGGCCTAGTATCGAACAATCGAGCATTCGATACATTTAGCTTTTACAACTAAAGAATTATTACTCGCGTATCTTTTATCGGTCGTTCGAAAATATCGACTTGATAAAAGATCTGCATTTATTTCATATTCATAATTTTCCTCTGATAGCTTCGATTTAGTTTCACGTGAGAGATCATTATCGATTTTAAATCTATTGTAGTTTTAGATTTAGCGTTTATATGAAAACCACATGTTTTGTTAAATCATTGTATTTAGATGTTGCATAATCGATCAGCATAAGTTATTTATACTTTAGTGAACATAAAAATCGGAGTGTAAATTAAATGTAAGGAAATGAAACGAAATGTTAAAAGTATAAATGTATTTGTATTTCATTTACGCTTCCGTTGTTCTCTTTCTTTATATTCAATTTATTTTATTCTCGTCACTCCGATTTTTATTTTCGTCAGATTTTTATTAAATATTTCTACAATATTGTATGCTACAGTTAAAACACGCTTATAATATGATGTATGAATGTTTACAAGTTCTATCAATAAATATAATAAAAGAGATATTTATTTACTATCGTTGCGACTGTATTTAATATTCACTGAGGATGACTTCAAAGTAAGTCGAAATAAATGAAGATAGTCATCAATATCTGAGTATTCATCTGCATTTTCAAATATAGCAAATTTATTGCGTTGCATTTCCTAAATTTTCGCTCTTACATCTGCGTTTGATTCTCATTAGCCTTTGTCCGAATTTATTGTTTTGCTTATTTATGCATAACAATTCTAACGAAATTCATACGCTAAAAGCGTACAACGTGACTGGGTCACAACGCGCGACATCCTTCAGCCAGAAGTTTTTCAACGAGATGTTTAGAACTCTCTTTACAGCAGGCTTTTGTCTTCGTGCGGATGCATACCGAGAAACCTGAGAGTCCAGGCCGGCGAGCTGGAATCGTCATGGCCGGAACTGCAACCATTATGTTCTCTTGGTCGGGAAATGAGAGGCGACGAGAAAAAGAAAAACGTTGCCGGGAAGCTTTGTGCCTGTATGTCGGCGCATTTGGACTTCAAACTCTGACGAGACGCCGTTTATTTTCTTTGTTCTATGTCATTTTTGCTTCGAACCCGGACAGATCAAGTCGGCGCAGTTGCGATCGATCGACGCAATATATCTGTAGCGAGTGTTTCAGAAACGGGTACCTCTATAACGGGGCTTATATCGTGGCTAAACACATGTATATAGAACCCGTAACTTTGTGCTGATTGCAAATGAGCATGGAGATAGTCAAAATTGATTCTGCCAGTAATGATCATAACGGTATTTCTTTTACTTTTGCTTTGTATTATTGTATTCGTAGAGAAAATTATAGGAAGACTCATTTAGTTTTCAGAGTCCAATTAGTCAGAGAGTTAATAATAGCGGATGTTAGATTTCCAGATGTTGAAGATAACAATTTTCGAAGATTTCTCCTCATAAATGCAATTATGCGAGAAGCCATTAAAAAAAAGAGAAAAATCTTACTTAAAATTATAGCTCAAAACTAAAAGGCTATAATATATAATTTCTTCTAAATGTTTATTTTAATAAAAAACACTTCAAGTATATATATGTACATATATAATTAGTTAGAAGAAAAAATAAAGCATTATATATATATATAATTATATGATATTCATTCATACGATTTTTAATGCAAAAAACCAGTTCTAAGAAATAAACAGCTTCTTCGCTCCAACAATTATTGCCAGCCACTTTTATAATAATGCAAATTTTATGACATGTTTATTTCAGCTTGAAACATTTATGTTGCTCTTATACGATAACTTGGACTTTTGGTCGAATATTCGAAACGTTACCTAAGATTAACCTTCGTCAGTTTTAAACAGAAACCAAATGGGAAAAATATGACGGAAAATCTGAAAAACAGATGCGCATTTCTTGGGCCATATTCGGGGTTATATATTATATTACAGACCCTGCTGTCTAAATGATTTGGGTCAGGATTGACATTTCCTTATCGTTTGTAGCTTTTAATCGTACAAAGGAAAGGACAGTTTTCTTTAGAAACAGTTTTTTTTAGAAATTCCGTCTAAAAGTGTAGATACAGATCTTAAGATAATTTTGTTGAATGTTGGAAAGATAATTTTTTTTTTCGTAAGTATCGTAGTTCTTAACAGCAATGGTCTTCCAAAGGTATTATATACGTCTTCGCATACAGTCGCAATGAATATATGCCGATGGTGTGTGGTACTTGCGGGAATCGAATGTCGAATGCGTGTATGCAATGCAGAACGCGGTTCATTTTTCGTCAAAAGATTATTGTACCGGATCTTCGTGAGAAAATTCAAATGCATCCGCGCGATATGTTGTAAGGGCGCCCGCGATATTTGCATGCCGCGGGCAGCGCGAATCGTCTTCTAAAGAAGATAAAATCTAAGGTTTAGACGGATGTAGATTCCGGCGAGTCGTAAATCTAGATGATGTTTTCGTTTATCTCGTAAATGCTCTCGGCATGCACTAATGTAGATATATTCTTTGAAAGATCCGTCTCAGTCGGATTTATGAATGAGTCGTCTTGATCCATAAACGTTGATGCGCGTGCGTTTCCAGGAGGATAATAAAAGATGCGTGAGATATATTTGAGGAGAGGAAACTTCTCGATCAACAATAAGCAATCTTGTACAATGACGTACATCCGTCTTTTCTTAGCACATGCTGCATATACGTAATATGACGAACATTAAATGTACTCATACATGAGCAACAGGTTGCTCTTAATCTATCTAGGACACCAGATGTACGACATTGCGTGTATGCATGGGCGAGTTATTATATGTATGCGTTACTTCGTATATATATTTTTTTCTAGATGTTAGAAATCACATTTTGTTTCACGTCATTTACAGATGACTCTCTGTCATTCTAAGAAAAATACGAAAACACAAATTTAAAGCTGCATACTCAATATTATAAGTATTATGTAATAATAAATATATGTATAATATAAATTATAATAAATAAATTTTAATATTTATAATTATGTAATACTAAATATTATAGATTTTTGTGTAATGTTAGAATATTGGTAAAGTATACAAATATTTTTTTTCGTCATAAAACTAATTTGATCTCTTTGGTTCTCGTAAAAAAAGAGACAAAAAAAAAACTGAGGCAAAATTGGTTGACATTTCAGCTTCAGGTTTAAAATATGCTTTTTAAATGTTAAATTCGAACGAACGACAGAGTGGAAACTGTTGCTGTACGAATTCATTATACAGATGACACAAAATTGCGTCAACTATTTCAATTTCGTGACCCTCCCATAAACCGGTTTGTCCGATCTATATAGTGACTATGGTAGCGTTTCGAGAGAATTGGAATGCATGGTTCCACGTGTGCAGGACGAATTACGGTTGCGATCGAAGTGCTTCGTCGGACAACGTATCGAAAGCAAATAAAAAAAAAATACAAGTGAAAGGTCCGTCGAGGTTAAGGAACTTGGCGAGCCCTAATAAAAAGCAGTTGTGTGTAATTATTTTCATTTTTATTGCGAGATACCTGTAATTCGAGCAATCTTTTCTCTCCGTTCACTTGTATACAGCTTGTTAGATAATTCGCGTTCATGAGAGAATAAATAAAATTATGAACGAAGAATTCCGTATGTCATTTCTTCAAAATAGTGCCAAACAATTTCTGCGATCAGAACTGAAGAGGATTTATATATACAATATATATATATATAAAATATTAAAAAATTTAGCTATATTAATAATAAACCACGATGACGGGTATAATTTCTATCTTTCCATCGCGTGTTGACAGGATATATTTCATTTTAATAGATAAGTTACAAAAGTCAATGTTGCCTTATCTAAATTTTCACGATGCTGTGGTATCTTTAACTTCTACAAAAAAATATGCTCACGAAAGATAAACAATTTTATTGAAATATCTAAAAATTTTGCTGAATACAAATAAAAAATAATTATGTTGAATCAAAATTATGCTGAGCTGATTGCTAGAATATAAAATTTGTTTGCAATACAGCTTATTAGGCTTGAGTTTCCTACATAATTATGTTAATGAACGAACAAAATTATGTAGGAGAATACTTTCTCCTACATAAATTAACAGTTCTATTGAAGTATTTAAAAATTTAGATAGATCTAAAAATAATTTTGATAGTTTAATAAAATTATTTTCAGATCTGTACATTAAATATCTACATTTTTAAATACTTTAGCAAAATCTTTTCTTTTCGTGAACATATAGATTTTTCTGCAAAAATTAAAGACACTATAGCATTGTAAAAATTTGAATAAGGCAATATCTATATACTTCTGTACACGCAACTCGTCGATTAAAATGAAATATATCATGTCCTTAACGCGCATCGCGATGGAAAAAAAATACAAATTACATTCGCCGTCGTGACTTATTATCAAGGTACGCATTGCATAGCTGCACACGCATGCCCGAAGCGATGCAATGATCAATATGAATAGTTAACGAGGACAACTGACGAAGCGGCAGCCACGATGAGAATCAATCGGCTGAGTTGTAATTTTTAAAGGCGTTTAGGAGTCACGGGAACAAACGTATTCCATTGTGCGCGTCGGCGGTTCCAACAATAGCGGCTTCTGAATCTCTGTGGAAAAATTCTAGAGAGCGAAGGCGATTTTTCTCGACCTGCCACAAACGGTTCGTTGACAGCGTATGTGGGCGGATGTTAATTAAGATAACGATGTTTAAAGATGTACTAAAGATGCGGTGAACTCTTCGTCGATTCTTCCGTATTCGGTTTAATTAGCAAAGAAACAAAGAAAATTAGCACAAAGCACGGCTCTTGTGTGGCGTTGATGTTGTAATGGATTTGATTATTGAGATAATTGACTGCATACTTTATTACGAAAATTATAACATGTATGCAAAAGAAAAGATTTGAATACTATCTCCGTAATACTATCTCCGAGCTATTGACGATAAAACGTGATTAGAGTTACGTATCCTATTGAAATCATCTCGATCATTTCAGAGATACAATTATTTTCAAAGAGGTAAAGCAATGCGAAAAATTATAAAGTTTACGATGAAGATACGAACAGCTCGTACAATATTCGCGTTGCATAAGATGAATACAGACTACCCGACCATTGCGTCATCTCTCGTCCATCTGGTCCATCGATTGTATAGTCATGGAGATGACGAAAAACGTAACGGCGGATGTAGTCCGCGGATGTGCAGATTATTACG